CTCTTGGGTGAGTGTGCCACTGACTCAATGGGGAGGCCAAAGCCACTGTACCCTGGGTGAGTGTTTCCCTGACTCAATGGGGAGGCCAAAGCCACTGTCTCTTGGGTGAGTGTGCAACAGACGCAATGGGGAGGTCAAAGCCCTTATACACTGGGTGAGTGTGCAACAGACTAAATGAGAAGGCCAAGGCCACTGTACCCTTGGTTAGTGTGCCACAGACTCAATGGGAAGGCCAAAGTCACTATATCCCGTTTGTGTGTGCCACAAACTCAATGGGGATGTTATTGCCACTGTACCCTGGGTGAGTGTGTCACAGAATCAATGGAGAGGTCAAAGCCACTGGACACTGGATGGGTGTGCCAAAAACTCATCGAGAAAGCCATTATATCCAGGATGAGCATGTCACAGACTCAATGGGGAGGCCAATACTACTGAACCCAGGATGAGCGTGTCACAGACTCAGTGGGAAGGCCAAGCCACTGTAAGTGTATCACAGACTTGGTGGAGAGGCCAAAGCGACTTTACCCTGGATGACTGTGTTGCAGACTCAATGGAGAGGTCAATACCACTGTACCCTAGATGAGCATATCACAAACTCAGTGGGAAAACCAACATCACTGTACCCTGGATGAGTGTGTCACAGACTCAATGGGGAGGCCAACATCACTGTAAATGTATCACGGACTTGGAGGAGAGGCCAGAGTGACTGTACCCTGGATGACTGTGTCACAGACTCAGTGGGGAGGCTAATACCACTATACCCTGGATAACTGTGTCACAGACTCAATGGGAAGGCCAATACACTGTACCCTAGATTAGTGTGTCACAGACTCGGTTGGGAGGCCAAAGCCACTGTGTATCACAGACTTTGCGGGGAGGTAAAAGCCACATACATATCTTGCGTGGGTGTTTCACATGCTCAATGGGGAGACCAAAGTCTACTTGATTCCATTCACTAAAAGTGTGGTGTACTGGTTTGTATTACATGGTTGATGCTGGGATAGAGTATTAACTCTCAATAAAGGGATGTAGTTCCTGTGGCAAAATATATTTGCTCTCAAAAAAAAAGGATGAATGTCCAGAACTGTCACCTGGCAGAAAAATATTTAGAACACAATGCTGCTGCACATCACTTTGAGATGATACTCTTAGAGTTGTTGTTGTTTAGGTCCAATTATGTGACATGTTTTCAAATACTCTGAATGTGCACAAATTGTGGGAAACATGTTTGAAATATTTGCTTGGTTGCCACAGTTAACCCTGTGGAGACTGACTGGTTTAGTAATATGAATTGCAGATGACAAGCTGACTTCAGATAATGAGAATCACAGATAACACGTAAATAAATAACATGTTACATAGACACTAAATAATTGTATACTACATGTGATGACAAAATAACTGTACAAATCTGGTGAATTATTTGTTATTGCTCCAAAATTAATAAATTACAGTAGCATGCACAGTGGTGAAAAAGTGATGACATAATCAGATGTGTTGCACTCAATATCGACATATTCTTTCTTCCATATAGCGCGGCCGAGGCATTCGTATCGAAACCTAAACTACCTCGTACTCCAGATGTGAGCAGTCGACCAACTAGCAGAGGTGGCCTAAAAACCCCACCACCCCAACCGAGAGTATCAGCCTCTCCACCACTATCGAGACCCACCAGTGCTGGCAGGCAAAGTATGTATTTGTCATTCTTCACACACCAGTGTCTTTGATCTTGACTTATGTTAGTACTGAATAAAAGTGAAAAGATATTGTATTACTTATTTTTTTGTATTGTTTTAGTCCATGTTCTCTACTGATTTATTGGTCTAATATTGATGATAATGAATATAGTTGTGACCTTTGGTTTATTCATTCGCTTCATTTCGTCAGAGGTGCATGTAGGGATACATGATCACTTACAAACACGTCGATTGTTATTTTTATTATTTGGGGAGGAGAAGTGTGGGGTACAGGATTCTTGAGAGCTAAAAGATGGCTACTTTATTCGGTATAAATGCAACTCAACATAGAATCAATTTAGAATCAAAAGCGAGGTTCTAAGAACAAGGTTAGAAAAGCGTAATTGTAAAAACGTTTTATATTTGTTTGTTCGATGAAATGCATCAGAACATTTCCAGTGATGAAGCCAAGATACTTTCATGAAATATTCTCAGTGAGAAGGCCCAGTTTTCGGTGAATGAGGCAATCTGAGAAACAATTTCTTTTATGTTTGTGCGTTTGTATTCAAATACGTCTGCTGCGAGGTGTTTTTGATATGAAGTCACAACATTTCTAAGTGCTGAAATTGCTTAGAAAGAATGCTAGTGATTAATTTGTTCAACTAAACAACTGTGTCCTGATTAATTTCTTTACAATCCAAATCTAAATAAATGTAATGTCTTTATTCAGGTGGTAATGGTGATGGTAGGCCAACCAGTCATGGTAGTATTCGTCCTTCAAGTCAAGGCAGTAATAGACCTTCAAGTCGAGGTCAAGTTGGAAGTCGTCCAGTCAGTCAACCCGGAATGAAGCCACCTTCCTCAGCAACGAGTAAAAAATCATCTTCTTCTCAACCACCATCTAGAAGAGGCTCATCTAAAACAAAATAAGTTTTATACTTGCAGTTTTTAATAATAGGATGTTTTCTTATGTATTTACTTAGCTGACGCTCTGACGTGAGCAATTCGGATGGGGGTAGTTTTCAAATCTGCGCCATCTTGAGATTTTGACATGGACGATGCTTCCCTGATTTTTGGCCATATGATGTAAACTACTTAAATTTGTTAAGCCTCTTGCCTTGTAACTTAATTGAAAAGTGAATTCCAAAGAAAAGATAGTTCGCTGTGTCTGTAGATATGGGAGCGTCCTTCATGAAAACATAAAACATGACATTCAGGTATCATTCTTAGTACATTGAATCTATTGTGGGTAGAAGGTCAATTGAATAGCAAGCACACTGGAGTCAGTGTAAGCTACAGATATCACATACAACAGGTGTAGTGGAGTAATTCAAAAATTATTTTTTTTTTTTTTATGAATGCTTCTTTTTGTTACAAATTGTTTTTTTATATATTCATACTTATAATTTCATTCAGCGAATATTAATTTGATTTCCGTTCTGTTCATCTTTCTAAAATCATTTGGATCATATCTCTGTTAAAAATTGATACAACGCAAGGACACAAACACCCATATTAGGGCTGTAATATTTTGTAATACATGTCTCTCGGAAGATAAACATACATTTTAATTTCTAGAACAATCACATACATCACCGGTTAACAAAATCCACTCAAACTTTTGTGAATGCCGCATCTTGTACTCTGTGTAGCATGGCCTGTACAGGTAGCAATGGTCAGTACTATCTTTACTGGAGCTAAAAACCACTGATGTTGCTTTTCTGATGTTGTGAAAGTGATAGCATGTAGTAATATTAAACCCTTTGAATGCCAACTTTAAATCTTATTACCTTTTATAGAATAATTCTGAATAAATCTGAGAAATCAAAAAAATATTCAAATTTTCTCAACAAAGGTTATCAAGACTGTTTGTAGCCATTGGGAAATTAACAAAGAAATTATAAAAAAAATTACATTGCGGGAAAAATAATGATTATGCATTATTATTATTGTTATTAATTTCATTAAAAGATAGCAATGCACAAAAGGTATCTATGTATTTTGGTCAGACCTGATACAACTATGAGACAATAATACTTAGAAAAATGTTTATTTGGTCGGACATTTTTCTGATGCACCTTAGCCGATTTTCTCCATGGCAGTGATGTAAATACACATATGTATATAAATTAGTTTTAATACAATC